GTTGTTTATGTGTTACACAAAATTTGAAACAAAATTTAATATTTTGCATATAGTCAAAATCGTATTGTTTTATTAACGAAAAACAATTTTTTTTGGTTAAATAATTACAATAAATAATTTTACACATAAATCTAATATGAAAAATATGAATAAAAACAAGTAGTTAATAATTTTTATACTTCTTGCATGGTTATTGAAAAAAAAAATGATACATTCTCGAAAATTAAAATCATTATTAATTAAGAATTCTTAATAAAATAAAAATAATATTAAATATTATTTGATTTGAAAAAATTATACATTTTATTACAAAGAAAACTACGTATATTGTAAAAATTTTTCTCAGCTACGCGATAAAAACATTCTAATTTAAACGTTTCACCCCATAAGCTGATGATAATTATTGAGTTATTCTACTCCCCGTTATTGTTGGTTTTCGCATAAACTGGCCGTCATGCACCAACCCACGACAAAAAATTAAAAAAACGCCAGATAATTGGCTACAAGTGAGTGTAAAGTAACAAGTACGACACGCACACTAATACATAGCAACGATTATTCCGCTACAAACTGGACTTCTGTGTGTGTAGTAAGATACTCGGATCATTGACACATGTAACTTATAAGCAAACTGAATATAAATCTAGATTATAACATTTTATTTTTACTAAATTTAATTACTATAATACATATTTATTCCTGTATTATACTAATAAATCATAAAACTTGTATACGGATATAATTAAGGATATAAGAGTTGATGTTGTTTAAACAATTCCTTCTGAAAATTAAACACTATCTTTATTTATCAGTATAAAAGAATATTTTATAATAGTGATTTTAATCACTGTCAGATGTCATCTATACTTATCCCAACTATGTCGCAACTACATTGTGCTGGGATTTTAAGCGTTGATATCATAGCAACATGTTTTTAATTAAGAGTGTATCATACACGCTTTCCACCTTAAAGATGCCTTGACTATTGGTCATTAATGCCTTTCATTGATGAAAAAGTTAACAATTGTTAACTTATTTCATTATTTATTTTTTGTAGCTTGGTGAAAATGACAATCATTACCAGTATTTTATTTAGTAGTAACACTGAATATTTGAATTGTTATTCTGAAAATTACATACTATTTGATATTATTGGTAACATTGTTTGTAATAATATTTTTAACATAAATAAGTAAAATATCATTTTTTTTTCGAAATTATATAGAAGTTACACCCACCACGTTTTACTATCATTACTAACTTTTTATGCAGCATGTATTTTATGTTACTGTTTTAGATAATTTTTAGAGTTTTGGACTAAATTAAATGCATATTTTTTTTATGATTTTGTAAGATGCATATTTAAATGTTTTTTTAATAAATCACGGCTTTATTATTTAGATGAATATTGTTGTCATTTTACAAAACTGTCAACAAAATATATGTATTATTAATCGAGAAAATATTATGCATTATAGCCAAATGTACTAAGCATTTTAATTGTATTATTAATAATTTAACTTAATATACAGCTAAAATATGGATTATATTTTATTTTATTTTAAAAATCTTTATAATGCCTCTCTTTCATAATTTAACAATAGTTTCTAATAAAATAATCTTTTCAAGTTACATTATTCATAATTTATTTTTGATTTCAATAGACAATAATTGCAAATGTACAAAAACAATAAATTAAATAAAATAATATGATAAATAGAAATAGAGCAAACAGTGACGGGATATCTTAGAATAAGAGTTTCTCAAGAACAAACATTGAAAAAAATGTACATGCTTACTTAAGAAACATCTTCGTATGATTAATAATATGCCTACAGAGTGATTATCTGTTATAAAATAATTTTTATATTCATCCCTTATACCTTTATAAGGGTATGAACTTTATTTTTCAAATGGAATCATACATAATTTACATGCTTATTTAATACATTATGATTTAATTAAGAAAATAACTGGTTGTCAACAACTATTGGATCAGTATTTCAGAAGTTATTAACATTTTAAAGTATTGACTGGAAAATAAAAGTGGGTTCCTATCATTCTAGTCATTTTACTGCAGCACTTTTCCTCCAATAGCTTAGATATAAATAAAAGTATCTTCTGAAATACTGATGAAAGCTGTTATCGACCATTAATTTTTTTAAATCGTTATCTAATTGTTTAATAAATACGTTAGTGAATTATGTATTGACACGGTACCGTGTTTCCCTCAGACGCACATCGCGTTATCAACCTAAATGAAAGTGTATGTTTGTTTGTCTATACGACGCCTTGAGTCGCGGGTTCTAATCCCGTACCGTGCCTTTTTTTCACATGATTTCCGGTACACTTTCTATAACCGGCCGTCAATCCCCGGCGGCCGTGTTAGTATATTGAAGCTTAAAAAAAATTAATTTGACACAACTATATGTTATCCTTTATACCTTTAAGGGGCTTTTTTGTGTGTCTTATACATTGGCGGGGCAAACTTTTAATTTAGTAAATTTGAATAAAGAATATACCTTTTTTTAAGATAATTAGGTATACGTAGATAATAGCTGTATTAATCGGTAATATGTTAATTCTTTAAAATTTTTATTAATTATAAGATGAAAAATTATAATCGTTTAATACTTTTATACATTGACTGATAACTGATGTGATAAACATAATTCGTTTGTTGTTTTTTTGGGTAAGCATAGATTAGAAACAATAACGACATATTGTCGATTCCATTTAATTTATATGTAAAATGTCGTTTCGCATTTGAAACCACCTGGCACAAGATGGTGTTCACCGCTGAGGAAAATTTACATCAGCCTCATTTTACCAAGTATTCACGACTCTCCCCCACCAATCAATCTTAATAATCCAGTATAGCAACTGAATCAAAAAAAAGTTTGCCTCTCGGACCTCATCGGTTTGTGCGTAATCAGTCGTGTAACGTGTCATTTTAGACCTTTGGTTACGGCACTAACTACTGTGTTATATCTCGCTGTGTTTGTGCAGCGCCAATTAGGCACTACATTATGTTATCTATTTCGTCCTATTATCTTTTATGGTTCAAGATTACAAATTGCGTTAATTATAAAAATAAATTATAATATTTTGAAAGATATTTGATATTGATAGAGGCTCGAAATAAATAAATTATTATAAGGTAAATTGCAGGTGAGATTGTGCCTCACTTGCCTCACCTGACGAGCCGACACTGGTCTTATATCATTAAAGAAATTGTAATCATATTTTCTAAGTAGTCGATTTGTTTACATTGTTATCAAGAGTCACCCTAAAAATCTTACCAATATTCACTTATAATTCTAAGTTTTTATAGTTCATTAAAAACTTAATTTGACGCAAATCTAGAACACTCCAGAAGACTGCAAAAAATGTTAAGTCTCTATTACTATTATAAACTGAACTTATAAGAAGTATTTCAAATTCTTTAAAGTATTCAGTCGAAAATTTAAGCATAGAATGAATCTTTTTTTTTTTTTTTGAGGGATGAAAGGCCTTTTCAAAACAAATTTATTTGTAATTTACTTACCACAAAAATATCTGAATCTCAGTCATGTTTCTGTGGTGTGACACAGCCCGTAATAGCGCACTATTCATTTACAGAGAACTAGCACGTTATCCAGTCGTGATTATCAGCTGTTCACCGTCGCACTCATTAGTGATAACACTAGTTTGTCCTGTCCGGCGGTCGGTAGATAGGACAGGTCAGGGGAGTGAAGCACCGCGAGACACGTCGGCGACTATGTAATCAGTTCATCTGTGACTTACATCCACCGCACGTGCCGTCAAAAATATTAGATATAATGACTTTATATCGAACTTTAATATTGTCAACCCGTGTTTTTAATTATTTAAGTTTTATGGACATTGTTAAAGGTGTAATAAATTGAGTCCACAATTATTTCAATCATCGTGATACATTTAAATTATTATTAACAACTTTTATACCATATCAGGTGTTATGTTTGTTTGTACCGTTACAACTAAAGAATATCACGGCTACAACATTAACTATTATACGTATTTTACAAATGTTATCATTTGCTTATCGAAATAACATTATTAGCAACCAGGGCCGGGCCAAGGGCCTGGCAAAGTGGGCGCCTGCCAGGGGCTCAAAATTTGATGAAGTCATTAAATTAGATTTTAAAAATCAAAACCAAAATATTATAATAATTTAAAAACTATTATTGGATGAAAATACGACGTTACCGAAATGATACTATAAAGTGTGAACTACCTAGTATTAAACAAGTATAATGTATAATAATGTCCATATTAATTATATACGTAGCCCGTAAGTATAATTTATAATTGTGAGGAAAAAGTGATATAAATTATTTCGCTTTAACTCATAGTCGCCGGGTAATAAACAAATTTAAAAATACAATTTGCGGGCGACAATAATACANAATACAATTTACGGGCGACAATAATACAGGATAATAAAATATGATTACATTGTATTAATTATTTTATGGTGGGGGGCGCAAAATTTTCATTTTGCCAGAAGCGCCACTATTGATCGGCCCGGCCCTGTTAGCAACTGATGTTAAAATACATTAATTGTAAATATAACCTGCGCCTAAGTGTGTTAATACACAAAGAATATGGCTAGTTTTTTTTATAAAATAATAGGCGTAAGATTATTAAATTTTTTAGGGTTTCAAAAGTTAATTTCTCTTATCATTGAAAATAGTTTAAGTAACATACGAATTTGTAGATGTTTTTAAATTGGGAAGTAATAGCTTTGATTATGGCTCTTTTTAATGCATGAATTAGGTGAGCAAGTACCCCAAGTAATATTCTTGATTCTATTCCAAATAGTCTCTAAAACCTAATAGTCAGTCGCTTGTCATTGAAGGCAACATAGAAAATATATATTTTTTAGTTATTAATTAATTGATAAACACTATTAAATATTTACAAAAATAATTATATTAATTATTTTTCAACAAGAAATTTTTAATGCATTTCATATGTCTAGTTTGATTAGGTTTTATTTTGTAAAATTTATTTTACAATTGACTAATTTTTAAAACATTAATATAACAGAAATCTTGCATTAGTCGTTACATTAAATTATAAATCAGTGACACAACCAAAGAGAAGTTTCCGGGTCCGGACCTCATGGACATAAAGTCGTAATAGTGGGGAGTTGTGGAAGGTTGAATTTTCCCCCTACTCTACGTTCTAAAAGTTATCTGGACTCCCCATACAAAATTTCTAATTGCTCCACTGTCAAAAATAATAAGAGGCGTTTGTAATTGAGAGTTAAAAAAAAATAATAATAAAAATATTTAAAATAAACGTCTCTGAAAAACAATTTATATACATTATTATAATTTATATAATATAATATTACATTAATATATAAAAGAAAATACTTAGAATTTTACTTCTAATAATTGAATCTTAGTAATATTTTAGATTACAAATACATTAGATATTACAGTTTAAAGAATGTTTTTTTTTTTTGAGTATAAAGTAAAGAAAACCAGATATTTATTTTACTACCTAATCTTTAAATCCAAAATTTACGCAAAACATGGTAACACCTTCTTCAACTTTATCTTGAAATGATGGGTGATACGGATTAAATGATAATATGTCAACACATTTTTTTTCAAGTTTGTTTATTTCTTCAATATACTTGTCGATGAAATTTTCTGGTTTAGGTGAAACAATGGCGTCGAATTTCTGTATTACAGGTGTGTTAACAATATCAAAATATTTTACAAAAATATTATTCATTGATTCATAACTTCTTTCTTTTTTGTCAATTATTTTTATCTCTTCTATAATATCTAGTGATTTATTAAGATTATTGAGAACTTTATTCTTATCATCACAATTTAAATATTTTAATGCTCTAGCCATACAACTTATTAATGGTTCAAACTGAAGAATAGCTGCGACTAATTTTAAATAATGTTGAAGTTTAAATGCGTCATTTGGCTGATGATTATATCCAAATGTCATCCATCTAAAATTACAATTGAAATAACCTACTAGTTTTTCATAAACTTTACTTAATATCAATGCAGCATCTTTCTTAACAATAATAGGATTATCTTCAAATCCTTTATTGACTGATATCTTACTACCATATGGAGATTGAAAGTAAACACTAGTTATTTTTTTCCATCCATCAGATCTAATAATTCTATTAAATTCAGCATCATAATCTTCAATGTATGTTGTTTTAAATTTATTAGAACTGTTAGTAAGACATATTAGTACAAAAAAATGTATTAATCGTGTAGGCAACATAATAAATAATTGTTACTAAACAAAAAAAATTACTTGTATATATTTTATACCATTATTTCATTGAATTTATATAGTCTACATTTATGAGTATTATTATTGATGTATATTTTTACATTATAATTTATTAGTATTTGTTTAGGCCATGAAAATATGTTTGTGTTTAAAGAAGTTTATTTGTCCGTTACACAGCATAAAAATAAAATGATATAAATCGAATTTTTTATTAACTTCTAACCCCAACTCGAAATTAAAAATGTATTTTTTGTGAAATATTTTTGTATGCTTCATGACAGGANATAAGTGAAAATTTTTGTGTTTCATGTCACGACTGAATGTACCACACGCACAAGGTTAAGTTAATTAATGACAGAAATAGTTATTACAAAACATTTAAT